CCAGCTTTTGGTTTGTTTTTTTAGAAACCCCAGAACGCCCAATGGATATCAAGGAGGAAAAAACTTGGAGGGCCAAGGAATGAAAAGGGAAAATGAAGAAGATGAGAGAAAAAAAAGAAATATAAAGTAGAATCATGTAAAGCAAATGAGAGCTAAATGCAGAATAACATAAATAGAATGGCCGCCTCTGACACTTGCAAGCATCTCACAAGGCAGTCATCCTCTTGGATGTATTAGCGGCCTGGTAATCGCGGTGTGCAATGGGAGTGGCAAATCTAATGTCCAGATCGCTGCTTCATGATGGCTCTTCGCTCCTTTTCCTTGGCTGTAATATTGAGTTAGCCTATTATGTAACATCAAACATGCAGCGAGAATTGAAATTGAAAACAATGAGTGGGGAGTAGGCTGCATACCTTCATCATACACCAAGAACTCATGTAGCCCCTTGCCTGTCGGGACCATTGGTAGAACGGGGACTTTCTTATCTGTTGTCACTTCGAGCAAGGCCGGACCCTCGCTCTCGATAAGCCACTTCAAGCTCGACTCCACATCGCTTGGTTTCGAGCACAACCTTGCTTGTACACCCATAGCTTCGGAGACCTTGACGAAATCCGGATTCAGCTGGTGAGTATGGGCGAAGCGGTCTTCGTAGAACAGGCTCTGCCATTGCGTCACCATACCCTGCTCCTCATTGTTCAGAACGATGATCTTAACGCCAATATTGAACTGCGCTGCAGTTGACAACTCCGTGATGGTCATGTTGAACGATGCATCGCCATCAATGTCGATCACAAGAGCGTCCGGCCGGGCAACCTTTGCACCAATGGCGGACGGTAGCCCGTACCCCATAGTACCGAGCCCACCAGAGGTGATCATAGTCCGTGGATATCGCCATCTGAAGTGTTGGGCAGCCCACATCTGGTGCTGGCCGACTCCAGTAGTGACAACGGTACGGTCCTTCATATGCGCGGTCAACTCGTTAAGTTTCTCAATAAGTGCTTGGGGTTTAATGAGGCCTTCTGGGGTTTGCCTTTCGTAGAGGGAAAGAGGGAATCTCTTCTTCCAGTCATTAATCTGCCCGAACCATTCGGGTCGTTCCTTGATAGCTTTGATCTGTGGAAGCAAAAGAGCAAGGTTGTCTGCACAATCACCTTCAACGGGTATCGTTGCTTCGACTACTTTGTTGATATTTTTGGGCACCATCTCAAAGTGAATAATACCACCTCGGTTTTCCGAAGCGGCAGCCTTAGCTTGGGGAGCGAACTTGGAAATGTTTCCAGTAACACGGTCATCAAATCTGGCACCCATGGCAATAATCAAATCTGCCTCTTGCATAGCCATATTGGCGTAAGCTGAGCCATGCATTCCCAGCATATGGAGAGACTTCGGATCCATTTCGTCAAATCCGCCTAGGCCCTGTAGAGTTGTGGTGACCGGAATGTTGGCCTTATCTGCCAGCTGCTTCAGCAATTCCGGGCCTTCTGGACGCGCAAGGAGCCCCTGGCCAACATAGAGCACGGGCTTCTTTGCAATGTTAATCAACTTAGCTGCAAGCTGGATATTGGCATCCAGATAGCGTGCATTAAGCTCTCGCGCCGCAAGGGTTGCAGCACTTGGCTGGGTGGGGAGCGTGCTGCTCATGGGGATAGGCTTCTGCAGAATACTGGCAGTCACATCTTTGGGGAGATCCACCAAAACAGGACCCGGTCGGCCACTGGTGGCAATTTCGAATGCCTCTTTGATCCGCCTGGGGAGCTCAGCGACAGATTTTACCATGACATTCCACTTTGTACAAGCTCTCGATATGCCAATTACGTCGGCTTCCTGGAAGGCATCCGTTCCAATTGCGGTTGTCGCAACCTGGCCGCAAAAGACCACCATGGGAGTTCCGTCGGACATAGCATCCTGGATCGGCGTAATAACGTTGGTTGCGCCAGGTCCTGATGTGACAAGCACTACACCTGGTTTTCCTGATGCACGAGCATAGCCTTCAGCCATGTGTCCAGCACCTTGTTCATGCCGTGGAAGTATAAAGTCAAGGTTTTTCGAGTTGTAAATCGCATCAAAGACTGGCAAGATAGCACCACCAGGGTATCCAACTACATTATTTGCGGCTGCGTTTAGTACATACCTAAACAATTTTCCCAAAACATGACTCCTATTGGAGATTTTATTTTATTTGGTTTTTTTTTTTTTGGTATGACTCACATATATGCTTAACTCCTTGTCTTAGCATCATCTCATGAAAGATTTCCCCTCCACTCATTCCGATAAATCTGCAAACAGCCGTGAATAATATATCAAAAAAAACTGGGTGGCCAACCTCACTGAGTAAATACGTACGATTCATCCACGGCCGGTATATTCTGGGTTTGGAGAGGCGAAATATCATTTTGGGGGGTATATTGATTAAAAGCAGGACTCGGATATGGCCGTGCATGTCTGTTCGCATGCGCGACAAGTTAGCTTAGACCAGCACAGATAC